ACATACATACATACATACATACATACATACATACATACATACATACAGTGTTGGGGAGTAACGGATTACATGTAACGACGTTACGTAATTTAATTACAAAAAAAGAGTAACTGTAATTCGTTACAGTTACAATGAGAAAATATGTAATTGAGTTACAGTTACTTCTGAAAATATTAAGAATTACAAATTTATTTACATTTTTTTTTTTAAATATAAAGACAAACCTTTGCAAAATATGCAACTCACTGATAGACGAAGCGTATTGATTTACTAATATTTGACTGTTTGGTGTTGATGCATGACAAACGTTTATCGATGTCTATGACCTAGCCTAGCCTAGCCTACCTAGCCTAGCCAGCTGTAGGGTGACCAGACGTCCTCTTTTTCCCGGACATGTCCTACATTTCAGACTAGTGTTGTCAAAAGTATCGATACTTAAAAAAGTATAGATACTAAAATGTTGTATCCGGATACGACTGACCTGCCGTCGCTGCGCCCCTTGTCTCCGATTTATTTATGTATTTATTTACGTTGTTTATGATCATTAACAAGACGTTAGCCTTGAACTGCTTTGTGCGGCCAATAGCTAATAATAACATGCTAAAATTAATCATGGGTTAATACTCATTAAAACTTTAAAGTAATCAAAAAGTAGTCAAAAGTAATTAGTTACATTACTTTTTAAAAGTAATCGAAAAAGTTACACTACAATTACATTTTAAACAAGGTAACTTGTAACTGTAACGGATTACATTTTTAAAGTAACTTACCCAACACTGCATACATACATACATACATACATACATACATACAAACATACATACATACTTATAATATGTGGAAGAAGTGGCTCAACTAGCAGAAAAAGACCTTCAGCAAAGTCAAACTTTGCATATGAAAATCTTTTCCAGCACTCCCCATTTCTCAGAGGAGATACAAATGACATTTTCCTTCCCAGGTATCCCAGATCGGATGATGCTGCAAATGATGCTGTAAAAGATAAACTGGAACTGGTTTTAGATAAATAAAGCAATTCTAACTGATAATGTTTTTATGTGATCATATGATAATCTTTTATGTGTTTTTTTTCAGCTAAAACAAACATAATGCTGTTATTTTTGTCAAACATCTGAGCTAAAGTATCAGCCCCGAGATATCCTCCTGGTAAATTTAAGGCAAATGCAGATGCAAATGATTCTGATTTGTGTCCCTTCAGATGTGAACAACAAAACCTTTTGAATAAGGAATTGATGCAGGGTGTTCAAAGACACAAACTTATTTGAGATTTATTAAACTGAAGGTCCATCCTCCCTTGGCTGCCACCTTATCGTGGTGGAGGGGTTTCGGTGTCACAATGATTCTAGGAAGCTCCTGGTAACAAAATAAGTACAGTTTCTGTATAATTGGTGACAGACACACCAATAATGAATTAAATAGGTAGTAAACTAACCCAAAAGACCTTGACCAAAGTCAAACTTTGCATATGAAAATGTTTTTCAGCACTCCCCATTTCTCAGAGGGGCTACAAATTACATTTTCCTTCCCAGGTATCCCAGATCGGATCGTCCTCCCGCAGCTGTTCACAGACCTGTGAGTATGTTTTCATGTCTCCATCATTTTGAGGAGTTAGGCTGAGCATCACTGCAGGGTTTGAAGTTAAACTGAAGGAAGGCAGGAAAAGGAAAGCCTCTCCAGATCCGACTGTGCTGAACTCTAGGGGAAAAAATGACTTGCAGACATTAATCTGTCTTTTTGTTTCAGCTCTGATTGAAGGGAAATATATTTTTCCTCCTCTCCTCGCTTTTGGTCCTCAGCTGTCAGCTCTCAGTAATCGTTGTCCTCTGAATCCTCTCCTCTGGTTTCTCTCAGCCTTTTGCTTCAAACAGCAGAGAACAGAAACATGTTGGTGGAGAAATCAGAGCAGAATTTCACAGTGTGACCCAAAACAGACCCAAATGAGAAAGAAATCTGATTTATTAGTCATTTTGAAGAAAAAAAAAATACTGTGTGGAAAAAGCCTTTAGCACTTTTTTGTGTTATAAGTGAAAACAATTTATGAAGATCTAAAACTGCCGAAATTCCCTTTAATCTTTCTTTATTTTCCAGTCCAAACAAAGATGGATCTGCTCATGACCCTGATAATCGTACTCTCCTCTGGTAAGAGAACTTTCCTCTGGATTTTACACACATTTAAGGTATTATCTTGTTTTTAGTATGTAACATTTATATCTTCTGTATCTGTAACTTTTCCTCCATCAATACTCAGGACTTCCCCTCATTTCCTGCTCACAGCCCCCCCTTCGTCAGTACCACTATGTTTCCACACCAAAGAGCTGGACCGAGGCCCGACAGTTCTGCAGAGAGAAATACACCGACCTGGCCACCTTTGACAGCATGGATGACATCAGCAGGCTGGAAGCTGATTTACCTTATCTCTGGGCCTGGAACGGACTCTGGGATGACCCTGAAAACTGGAAAACCTCCATGGGTAATGACACCAACTCTTGGAGGTGGTCAGCAACAGGAGAAACCAGCAGAACTGGGTACCAGAACTGGGACTCTGACCAGCCAGATTACTGGGAAGCACAGGAGACATGTGTATTGATGCGTAATCAAGGTCTGTGGGTTGATGAAAGATGTGAGACCCCAAGAGAATTCATCTGCTATAGCGGTAATATCACGCTTTATTGACTTATCAAAGTGATTTGTTTCATTAAAATTAACATAGAGCCTATAACCCATTTTCATGTTTGATCCAAACCTAAAGCATTAAAAATGAGGTCATTTTCTAGTCAGATTTAAAATTTGAATTGAATTAAATCAGTTAATTTATCTCCAGATCTGAGTAGCCAGTGAGGAGCTGGACAACTTCAAGCTCAAATGGAGCAGTTTTACAAGATGATAGGTTTAAGTTATAGTGCTGCAGACTGCAGCTAAACGGGATCAAAGCTCTGAGCATCTGTTGTTATTTTTCTGAGAGGAATAACTGAACTCACTGTGGGTTATTTTCTGCTGCAGTTTCAGAGAACAACAAGAAAAACTATTTCCACATCCCAACCAACAAAACATGGCAGTCTGCTCAGCAGCACTGCAGGGAAAACTTCACCGACTTGGCCATGATTGA